CTCTCTCTCTCTCTCTCTCTCTCTCTCTCTCTCTCTCTCTCTCTCTCTTACATATTCTTCTTCACTTTTAACCTTAATCAAATGAAAAAAGAAAGCCCAGATTATAGAGGATCATCATCTTCCTCTGTTACAACAACAAAAAAAAAAAAAAACCCATATCAGAGAACAAAAAAAACCTAGATCAGAGAGGATTATCTTTTAGGTTTTCGATTTGCACCAATAAGGGTAAGATCATATACATCTGGGCAAAACAAAATCGGTTGACCCTCCCCTATCTACACCGTCACCGACAAACGGACACCCCAACGCTTCGCTTAACCTCGCCATCGTTCTCCGCCACCTAAAAAGTCGTCCTCTCCCCACCGTTGTTGGACATCTATAAAAATACACCTCTCCCCCTCTGCTTTGTCACCGACGAAAGAATACATCACCACTTCTCCCACCCTCGACATCGTTCTTTTATAGATCTGGAGCACCATCATCTTTAATCTTTTATTGGAACTAGGGTTTTCAGATCCGCCAGAGCCAGAGAAGATGAAAGGTAAGAACACCACCACCTGTTCTATCCAAAAACAACATCACCACCGCGACAACCCTCTGAAAAAGCTTATGGGCTTTCAAGAACAATCTATTTCTACAAATCGATTTTCATGTATGTGCGCTCATATCATTTCTGGGTTTAGGGTTAATGGACTCAAAGAAGTATACAGTGGCGCTGAATCAAATCGGAGCTAAAATCATCCCATAAATGGAATCTGAAATCATGTGTGCCTTGTGTTCTTGTGTTCTTGGAGAAAATCACTAGCCATGGGCACTGCTGTTGGATCTATTTGATCCCAGATGGAGGAGAGGAATTGAAATAGATGTGCTACAATTTTTCTTGTGGTGATGTTGATCGTTGGTGGTGGATGATGAAGTAACGGCGACGACTAAAGCTCCATGGGTGTTTTTGATGGTGTCGGCGATGGGTGGGATCTTCGTTTTGGGAGAAATATGCAAATAGAGAGGGGGAGGGTGGGAGGGTGGGTGGCTAGAATTTTCTTTTTTGATTTTTTTAATTAAAATGTCTTAAAAAAATAACAAAAGAAATTGAAAAATAATTACTAAAGGGGCATATTAGTCATTTTAGGTTGGGTGGGGACCAAAACTACACAAAAATCTCAATCATAGGGACCAAAACCACACAAGGTATCCATAAATGGACCACTTATGCACCACCAAACTTTTTTGGACCGAAACCACATAATTTTGACAACCACAGGGACCATTTTTGTAATTTTGTCCACACATTTTTTTGAATGTTTTTTAAGGGGTAATTTTCATTTTTTTTTTGTTTTTTTCTTTATTATAAATACACACTTACACTTCACGTTTTAAAACACAAAACAAACATCAAACATTTCTATATACTGTTATATTTATAATTCGAAAAATTTTCATCGTCATCTGCTTTGTCGGATATGTTAGCGTTGCGGCAAACGGCTTTTATCGGGGATGTTATGCAAACAACAGTCACCTATCTACAAGAAAATGAAGCCGAAAGTTCGCGTTTAGAAACTATAAATCATCCCTTATAGAGAAATCGTGAAGCCAGACACAACCAATTTGTGAATAAGTACTTTAATGATGATGCAGTCTATGCTGGAAAATTCAAACATCAGTTTTGGACGAGGAAAAAATTATTTCTACGCATTGTTGATGATATAAAAATCGATTTCCATATTTTCAGCAGATGATTGATGCAAGAGGTCAGAAAAGTTTTCTTATAATATGGGACCAGTCTCATGGGATGAGTATTTGAGGATGTCAAAGAGAACAACACGGGAATGTCTATACAAGTTTGCTAAAGTTGTGATTATCATATGTCATGGTCGTCATTTATGCAAGCCTACAAATAGCGACATCCACCAACTGCACATGACACATAAAAACAAGTATGGGTTCCCTGGAATG